CTTGTGTCGTTAAAGTTTCGTCGGAACGAATTTACGGAAAATTAACTAACGAACGGAGGCGTGACACTATGTTTACAGCGTTCTTGCTGACTTCAGGAACGTTACAATGATCTGACGGCTCTAAATGATCTAATTACGATCTACGACTAAAACACAGACCAAAATGGAGGGAGACCCAATGTAGAAATTGTAGATAGAAATATTTGTACACATGTAATTTTAAGAACTTATCAAAGAATGTATAACAGTATGTAAACTACGCTAAATCTGATATATCCAGTAAAAGTAAAGAACATGACTGACAAATAGATGAATATCTCCAAAGTTATGGTTTTGAACGCCGAAAGTCGAGGAAATATTGGAAACCAATAGGCCTAAAGATTGCTATAAAAATCAAGCTAAATGCAGTCATTTTTCTTAATTTGTCCATCGCAGTTCGAAGTCAGAAATGTGTGTGAAGATAGAATTTAAGATCTACACAAGACACAGCCTAAGAAGCTTTTCGTTTAGTACCTAAACTCATCAGTTGGGCTAGACAACGTTGAACGCAAGTTATATATGCAGTATAGTACTTTCAAAGTTAAGGTTTGAACGCCAAAAGCTGGCGAAGTATTGGAAATCAAGAGGCTTAAATACTGTTATAGAAATCAAGTTCAACTGCAGATGGTTTTTTTCCCCACATTTTTGGGCACCGAAGACAGATCAATAATCTGAAAACTTTCCGCCGTTACTACTGGAGTTTGTTTTATTCTTCTTATTGCTATTCAACTTTTTTCATCCTATTTCTATACTAATAATAATGACATTATTATTATTATTATGAGAATTTTGACATAATATTTCAAAAGATTAGAAACAATAATATAGGTCTCTGGAATGATTACAAATATATCTCAAAATTATATAGGCTTATGTCCCTAATATAACATTGTACACATAATACTGTTTAGGCCCGCCGACAGGGGGGGGGGGCAACTGCTCAGGGGCCCGGGCGAATGAAACCTGGTTATGCCGTAAAGCCGTCAAAGCATCTTTAAGCTATATCTTCATTTAATAATAAAAACCATAATTTTTTGCTTTTCTTTGCATATAGACGCTTGATACATTAAGAACGACTGAAATAATAATTTGTGTCATAATTAATATGTATTTGTTACTTTATAGATTCAATAGATATTTGTTGTTACTTTATTAACATTTTTACGCTTATACTGTAAGGTAAAAACGTCTGCTGCTATGATTTTGTCTGGTTTATGAGCTCGTTGCTGTCCTAAGTTAGGATCTTCTTTTTAATAAGTTCTTGAACATGTTAAAAAAAAGAGAGATAGAAATGGG